GGGGATGGGGCACAGGTGGAAGTCCCTGGACTGGGAGGGCTTTTCCAACCTCAGGGATTCTGGGAAATCAAGACTTTGCCTCGTTGAGTGGATGTTGGGTACCTGTAAATATGTGAGTGAACTGGCACCTTCCTCCTTCCAGTGCTGGTTCTGGGCATCCCAGGAAGGTCTGGGCCAGCACGAGGGAGCTGAGCCCTGAGCCCTGCACGTGCTCCCGCCCTTCGTGATGTGCTTCAGCGACATCCCCAGATGAAAAAAAAGCCAAAAAAACACCCCCAAAACGTAACTGACCAAAATTTTAGGGTGATTTTACGAGACCAGTGAAGCTCTTGGGAATTGTCTCCCCCAGAAAACCCCCGGGAGTCGTGCTTCGACCCGGGCTCCATCAGGAACGGCACCCGCGTGGGCTCGGACCTCAAGCTGGGATCCACCATCACCTACTACTGTGACGGGGGCTACGACATCCAGGGGGTCTCCACCCTCACCTGCATCATGGGAGGGGATGGAAAACCCACCTGGAACAAGCCCCGCCCCACCTGCACAGGTAATTCCCTGTGGGAACAACCTGCCCGGTGCCGAACCTTTCGTTGTCGCAGTCGCCAACCAGGTGTTGCTTTTTGCAGAGAGAGGGGGATTCTCAGCCTTTTGTCATTTTTTCAGGCTTTTTAAAGTGTTAAAATCAGGGGGAGCTGATTTATATGAGTTTATAAGAGGTTTCTTGAACCTTCTTTGGGGTGAGAGAGAACTGGCCACAGAGATCCTCTGCCCCTGGTGCAGGGCAGGACTCAGGAAGCCACTTAAACATTTGCTAAAACCTGAGCCTTGCTAATCAAAACCCTTTCCTGAGCAGGGTCAGAGTTTAGGGAGAAAACAAGATGTGTTATTTTCTTAAGGGTTCTGTGGTTCTTCTGTTTTGTTTTCTGACTTAATGGTTTAAATGATGGGTTTGCAGTCAGAGTTTAATGTGAGAAGGGAATCCAGAGGTAGCTGTCAGTCTGTGCTGAGGGGGAAGAAGGAAATCCCTGATTTTGGAAAGGGAGGGTGAAAAAAAGCAAGGACTCATCCTGCCAGGCCCTGAGCTGTGAGCCAGGTGGGGAGCAGTTATCCCACATTATCCTGCACCACACCCATCCCTTCCCCAGCACGGCTGGATAAGGAAATGTGAAGCCGGGATGACTTCGGGGCCTGGTTTTCCTTCATGGGAACTCCCAGGGATCACCTGGAGCAGGGGGTGGATCGTGGCTGGGGGCACTGACAGGGCCCAGCACTCTGGGAGCAGCTGGTGTTGCAGGCTCTGGGAATGACCCCTTGTTGCTGTCCCTTGCAGCTCCCTGTGGGGGTCAGTACACGGGCTCCGACGGCGTCGTCCTGTCTCCGAATTACCCCCAAAACTACACCACTGGCCAGGCCTGCTTGTACTTCATCGTGGTGCCCAAGGACTATGGTATTGTATCCAGGTGGTTTTGGAACTCTGTCCTGCTCTGCAGCTCTTGCTTGCTTTGTTTGACTTGAGCAAAGCAGTGAAATAAGTGCATCTGGAAACGGGGACAAGGGAGGCTGGAAAACAAGTGGTGCTGTTGGATGCTGTTTGTTGTGGGTGGGTTTGTGGATGTGACTTAAGGGTCATTTTTTATTTCTAAGTAACATGGAAAAAGCATGGAATGGTTTGGGTTGGAAGGGACCCTAAAGATCCTCTCATTCCAACCCGTTGCCATGGGCAGGGGCATGTAAATTAAATTCTAAAACTGGGTACAAACCAAAGCCAGATCCATTTATAAGGATCATTGTTCTTTTTCTAGGCTTTGGTGCTGCTTAGGTTGGGTCAGAGCTTGAATACAAGAGTTAAGAATGTTCTAGAAGCTGCTGGGGGTTGGTAGTGGTTGATTTTCCTGTTTGAAGGGAATTTGAAGTCCTTAAAGAGCTCTGGCAGGTGAGGGGCTCTAAATGCTCTTCTTTGGTGCTGCTCTCAGAGCATTGTATTGATCCCCTCAGTCCCCATGGCCCTTCCAGCTGCTTGGGATTCCCTGTGCCAGGATGGCAGAGTGGGAAATGAGGATTCTGTGTCCAGAACTCAGTTAGAAACACTCCAATTCCCTGGAAGTGTGTCAGGCCAGGTTGGAGCAGCCTGCTCCAGTGGAAGGTGTCCCTGCCCATGGAACGAGATGGGCTTTAAGGTCCCTCCCAACCCAAACCAGCCTGGGATTCCATGAATTCCTGTGTGCATCCAGGATCCATCTGAGTTCCTGAGGAAGTACCAACACTGCTCTTACAGCTCCTGGATCTCTTTTACTTGAGCTGGTCTTGGTGTTGTCTTAAAAAACAAGAGTACCAAGAAGGCCAGGCAGTCTGATCCCAGGGTGGAAATGAGTTCCCCTTCTCCCCCTGCTCCCTTTCAATATCCTCATTAAAAACGAGCAGGAAAACCATTAGCAGGGGATGTTCTGCATTTGCCAGCCCTGCCCTGCTCAGGTTCTGTGCAGCAGGACTCTTGGGGTGGAGGGGGTGGTGCTACTGTCACTTTTCCAGTGTTCCTGACACCAGAGCTGGGCTGGAATGTTGCCTGGATGTGCAGGGAACAAATGTGGTGGCCTGGTGGATGATGGATTTCACAGCAAGAGACCTCTCAGCTTGTGAATCTGCACTTAAGAGCTTGAAAAGGCAAAGCCAGGAGAGGAGACAAAGGGAGAGAAAAAAAAAGCTTCTAAGTGCAGATTTGTGTCAGGAAAAAAAACAACACCCTGTTGTTATCCTGTGAAAAATAAAGATAAATAACTGAAGCCTCTTTGCTTCAGCTAAAAAAAATGCTCTGATCGTTTCATTATTGTTATTTTCTCCCTTGTATGAGCTCTGCCTGCTCCTGGCTATTTACTGTATGCAGGGAGAATAATAATAATAGTAATAATAATGATAACAACAACAGCAACACAACAGTGATAGCAACAACAATAATCATTTTTAAAAATCATGTGCTTTCCTCAGCAGGGTCAGAGTTCAGTGAAGGGTTTTTTTTTCTCAGGGGTTCTGTGGTTATTTTGTTTTGCTTTCTGTCTCAGTGGTTTAAATGACGGGTTTGCAGTCAGAGCTTAATTTGAGAAGGGAATCCAGAGGTAGCTGTCAGTCTGTGGTGATGGGAAGAATGAAATCCCTTAAAGTGTAATAATAATGATGATCATAACGTGTAATAATAGTAGTAATAACAGTGATAATAATAATGAGGGTAATAATAATAATAATAAATAAATAAAAACACATCTACTGTATGCAGTGAGACCAGAGCACCCTCATTAGCAGGCTCTGTAAGCAGGTTCAGGACTGAATATCAATAAAATCATGAATATCCTCTCTCCCAACCATCCACCCCGAGCAGAGAGATCCCACCTGGAAATCAAGTTCCTCAAGACAGGGATTATTTTGTCCAGGTTTTGTGCAATGCTTGACCCAAGGGGAGCCAGTTCCCTGACAGAGGCTCAATACAGACAATAAATAACAATTATGGCTCGGTGGAATTACAAAGCCCGTGTGGTGCAGGCAGGGAGGGGATGAGTCACAGATTCCCTCTTGGATGATGAATCAGTGGGAAGGAGCCCTGGCAGGAACACGGGGGAGGCTGGGGCTGCCTCTGTTGGGCCCACTCTGGGGCTAAATAGAGGGTTCCCATCTTCCCAGGCTGTCAGTCAGGCCCTGTTTGTCTCTGCCTGGAATAAAAGCAGCTGAAACAGGAGCCCAAACAGCTCAGTGTGTGCTGGGACAATACATGGCATCATTGGGAGCGGGGGGATTGTTGGGATGTCCCAGGACTGGGCTGGGCTGATCCTTCCAGCTCAGGGTGTTCCTGATTCCATGGCCCTGTAAAACACCTCCTGGCTGTGTGGGGTGGTGCTGGGGGTGGCACAGCAGAGGGACAGCAGAGGGACAGCAGTGTGGCTCATGCCCCCACCACTCCCTCTCTCCTCAGTGGTCTTCGGGCAGTTCGCCTTCTTCCAAACCGCGCTCAACGACGTCGTGGAGGTCCATGATGGCCCCAACCAGCACTCCAGGCTCCTCAGCTCCCTCTCAGGCTCTCACACAGGTAGGAAGCACGTCCCTGTTGCTGCTGGGAAGAGCAGGTTCAAACCCCAGCCTGCTCTGTGTGTCCCACTGCCGTGGCTCTTGCTTGCATCTCCATCTCCTGTTTGCCTTTCTCCCCACCCAGGTGAATCCTTGCCCTTAGCTACCACCAACCAGATCCTCATCAAATTTAGCTCCAAGGGTCAATCCACAGCCAAAGGTTTTCATTTTGTCTACCAAGGTGAGTACAGTTGTGTTCTGGAGGCATCCTCAGGTCGGTCCTGAGATAAGGGTCAAAAATACGGGGATGTCCCAAAGTGTCCTGAGCTGCTTTTGGTATCTGTGGGTCCTGAACAGGAAATATCCCAAGGGATTAATGTTATTTCGGGAGCAGTGATCTGGCAGGGCTGTCTGGCTGCTGTAGGTACTTTATATTCAGACCTTTCATCCCCACTCAGCCTCAGCCCTCGCTGGTCCCAGGATTAGTATCAGAACCATCTCCCTGAGTCATGCCCTGAGTTACACGGGGAATTTGGAGATTTATCCCCTGGCAATTTTGCCCAGTGGCATTTTAGCACATTTCGGGGTGTAAGCAGCTGAAATCTTGTCTGGCAGCTCTGAAATCCTCCCTCTCTGCGTGTCACAGGCTTAGGTCTCCTGCTGTCAAACTCTTGCCCCTTGATCCCCTCAGTAACAGCTTGTGTTGCACTGGGAGGGCCCCACTGAGGGATTTTATGGGAGTAAATAGACAGTGATGCACAGAACAGTGGGAAAACAGGAGGGATTTCTCACCCACGTGCTCTCTGGAGTTGTGTGTGGTAACCAAGCTTTTGCTGCAAAGTGGGGACAGACAACAGAGTGACCTGTGCCTTCCCTGGGGGCGAAGTGAAACATGGTTTGGATTTCAGAGTATCCAGAGATCTGTTCTCTCCAATTTCTGCCTAATTATTGTCAAACAACTGTAGTTCTGACTGTGATCTTCAAAGAGTTCAGCAAAGCAGAGGTTCTGATGAA